CCCAAAGCATACAAGTGCTGAGTTTATCATCATTCACTTCTTTAGGAAGGAAGTGAATGCTACTAGAGTACTGAGCTGAGCACCTGGGAAAGCACATTTCTGACCCACTGCAAATACATCAATGAGATAACAAATACTTAGTGTTAGACTTACCCTATTAGGCCTAGACAGACCCTGAATACAAAGAAAAGACTGTTGTTCTGCTGTTCCTGGACCAGCCTGGAAGGTAGATAGCTGCTCAGTCCCTTTCCTCTCCTAGATGTCATGCTGCCCTAGGGAAGAAGCAGATAATGCCAGGTTTGAGCTTCGTGCAGATTACACTGCTGACACCCTGGTATGGCTATCCTGCTCAGGGATGAGGAGACAAGCCATGACTTTGCCCATTTCCCATCTCATTCTGGACTTCCTTACTACCCTATGACAGGGTAGAGTAATGGGTCTGCAAAGCCAGTTTCCACACCATGTTACTACTGCTAGGTTGAGGGTTAGTGGTTCAGGCTTCAATGGTTTGTGATCTTTCTTTACCTAGGCCATGTTTAGTCCTTAAAAATAAATTGAATCACATCCTCCCAAAGCTACAGAAAGCACCAGACAAAGCAAAATTAATCTTGTTCTGATTCACCCGAGAAACTAACATAAGCATGGGCTCACAGTTACCATGTACCATCCAGCCCTGTTTTACGTGAAGCTCTGAACAGTGGCATTTGTTAGGTGAGGCCTGCCAGACAAAGTTACAAGACTTGTAGTTGTGTGCTTCAGAGAGCCAGCAGCCATTGCCCCCAGGACGATCAGAACGTATGCTGGGTTCACAACTGGGTTCAGAACCATTCCACTGTGCCCCCTTGCCCATCATAGCACGACACAGGGTATATTCCTCTCTGCCCTCCCTGGGCTACTTATGTGCGTATGATGAGCAGAGTTTGCCCTCTACTAAACCTACAGCAACAACTTCTTTTTTTTAAAATGAACTGTACAAAGGGGAATTCTTTATAATATTAATTGGAAATGTAAATATATGCAGGCTACTAGAATTCATTTATATCTGGCTTCTGTCTCAGTATTTTTGCTTTGCTGCAGCATCTCAACGGTGAATGGATATCAAGAGAACAAGAAATCACAAGAGCAGATTTTCTCAGCTCTAAAGCCGTTGACTGCCAGATTCCTGTATTGAACAGCACAGAAACAGAGAATATGCACTTCATGGCTGATGATGAACCATTTGCAAGATGGCAAGTGAAAGTAGGAATTTTTCGATTACTAAAAATTTTAAAGGAGCAGAACACTTTTTGTGGTCCATTGAAACACAGCACACAATCTACTTCCCATCAATCATTTAGAATTGAAGATGTGCACAGAAATAGATATCTTTAATACCGTGCAACACGCCAAAAAAAAAAAAAAGTCCCCAAACCCAAATAAACATCAAAATGCAATAGACTTCTTTATAAGCAATCTTAAGGTGCAAATTACAATCACTGCTCCTGGTAATCATCTAAAGGTGATGCATCAGGCTAATCAATTGTTAATCATTAGTAGTATTCATTTCTGGAGACCCAGGTTCAAAATATTGATTAGGTCACAAATGAAAAGCAATCATGTCTCCTGTTGCACAGTAGATTTTCCTACACTTCAGAACAGCACTGTGCAAAGTGGTGTAATTAGCAGCCTCTTCTGAGAACAAGACTGGCACTGAACGAGCAAAGAACCAGCAGACAAGGGCTAAAGTGCACTGGCAGATGTACGGGAGGAAGTTTGCACAACACCTGTTCACACTGAGCCCTGCTCTGCTGTGATTTCAGCCGCTTATTTTCATAAGTGTTTTCTATTTCTTACCTAGTTATAAAAATCAGCCCAGTGATTCTTCTTCTACCTTGGGTTATTCTCACCACTCCAAAAGCATACCATATTAATTACCATAATATATGGAAAATAGATGTGCATGCATCTCTTATATCTTAGCTATTCATATCTTATATCTTAGCTATTTGTTCCTCTACAAAATGCAATTTGTTAAGATTGAAAGTCTAAGATCAAGAACAACCTAACAAGACATAGCTGGAAAAAAATCCAGGGTAAAATTGTAGATGCGTTATTGCAATTTTTATTACATCTGGTATATCAACATTACATTTAACAAACTAACTGTACCTCCTTTATCACTGCTCTCATACTAACCCACTGGTTTTGTAATTGCCTCTAAGGACTATAATGTGCACATAGGAAAATCTAGTTAGGAATCATGTTGCATGTTATGGATCCCTCATGTATTTTTATGTATCTTTTTGTTAATATATTAATCTTGCAGAGACCTATGCAGGGGTAAATTATTGTATAGGTTAGGGATAGAAATTACACATAAACCAGTATAAATGATGATCAGAAACCAGTTCAAATCTGTGAAACAACAAAAGTTCTGTGCACATAAACCACTTTCAAAATGGCCAAAATTGGTTTAAGATAAACCTGGATGGATGTAGTATCAAATGTAATGGATTTAGGTTAAATCAGTTTATTGAGCTTCTGTTCCAGATTCCCTCCAGGTTCAAGTTAGCTCACAGTCCCCTAGCATCCCATGATGCTTTGAACCTCCCCTGCAAACTTCCCCCTCACAGAGTGGGTGGGCTAGCCTGGGTCCAAGCTGTCTGCTCCAGCCAAGCAGGCAGGCATGCTATTGTCCATCCGTCCCACCCCACATCGCCCCCCCCTACCCCCAAGCTTCTGGCCTGGGCCATTGCAGGCATGTGGCTGCATTTCGGGAATCAAAAGGGAATGTCTGTTCACGTGCTTATCAGTTCAATCTACTCAGTTTAATCTAACCTGCAAAGATTGAATTGATTCAGCCTTGGGCTTTTTGATTGTCTGTACTTAGCCATAATGACCGTCTGGTGTTGTACCCTACACCTTTCTCTGGAGAATCTGGAACAGTCCACCTGGAGGATGATTTTGAAGAATCCCCATGCCTCCTGCTGATTCTAGGGTTATTTCTGAGAAACAAGCTCCACTCACACATACCCTGAGACTGACCACCTGATCACAGCATCACTGCATGCACTTAGGTCCTATCTAATTATTAGGCTTAGGTGTCCACAAAAATGGAAGGAGGGAGTGGGATTTGTTTCTGGCAGTCAGCCCAGGCTTAGCAGAGAGCTAGCATAGACATGACCATAGCTACTTGGCTTCAATGTGGTAGGCTTCCTCTATAGGGGGTATAGTGTGTAGTTTTATATCCATCCAATGAGTACTTTCCATATGATAACCAAGCAAATAGATTTATTCATTACACCTACTGTGTTCAGCAGTTCATTTCACTGCCAGGTGCTGGTAGCTACACACTGTGAAGTAGGTTTAGAAGTTGTTTTTTTTCCCCTTCTAGATAGCATAGGAAGTTTCTTTCCTTGTACTTTATTCAAAGAAATGAGATGTCTATGTCTCTGAGACCTTTTCACCCTCCCCAGCCTTGGATCCTTTAAAAAAATCTGGGTCACAACTACCTGATGAATACAAAATCAAACCCTTCTGAGTCACATCTTTAGTAGTAGGAGTACAAAATTGCTTAGGTTGTTTGTTTTACTGGGTGGACTGTGAGAGAAGCACTAATAGTACAGTATAAAAAGTGTTTATCCATCTTAGTAGAAAGGTGCAGAGAATGACAATTCTGTTTTGGAGATTATTTCAAGATTTCAAAATCTGGTTTTGTTTTAACTTAGAATGAACACCCACACATTCACCATTCTCTGCAAAAACAAAACTATTTAAATTGTCTAAATGTTAACTGTTTAATATGATATATATGTCATGCAAAATAAATAAGATGAAACAGAAGGTGGTTCCAAAAGGAACATTTGAAACCATTGGGGTTCTGAAATTGGAACAATCCTTTTTTCTGACAAAAAAAATCAGAGGATTTAATATGATTTCACAACAGTGTTTCAATTTAAAGGAAAAACTTATTTTTTCAGGGTATCCAACAAGCTCTACTTCTTCATGTTCTTGCTTTTCATCTCCTCTGTATTCATGTTCCATCTCTTGTGTATACGTGTTATGACATGCTGCTGAATTTCAATAAGAAAATACCTGTGGGGGACTTCACCAGGCCATCATTTTGGAATCATTAGCTCAGGTATCAAAACACAAATTCTTGTTTGGATAGTAGGCAAGTTAGACGAACCATTCACATGTACATATAAGGGAAGGTTGGAGGATTTTGGTGGACACCTGTGAATACTGGAGGCATGTTCCTGCTTATCCTGACTCATTGCTATTGCAAGAAGGAGTATATGAATAGTAGGATTCGGGATGTGAGTGGACAAGCAGGGAGAATTACAAGGAAATAGAAATCAAATTTGGTCCATCAGGTTCGTACACTTTTCTTTTTCTATTCACAAACTCTCATGCAATTCAAATTTTGTTTCTACTATGAATAATACAAGTAGAACAATACATTGTTTCACAGTGAAAGAAAATCTAGTAGTAGTAATAAACTTCTTCATTTTCCCAGTAAATTATCCTAAATAGACTGTTCTTTCCTTGCATCTAATGTATAAGTTCATATAATCAAGGCCTGGCTTTGAATGAGGCTTAGGCTTCCAAGTCATTTGAAAATGTTACTCCATGTCACTAATGTGACTAAGTACAACATAGCAAAAACAAATAATAAAATAAATTGTTCACAAAATTCACAGACTGAAATTTCCTATGATGCCTTGAAGTATCACAAACAATGAACAAATCTGAAAAAGACATAGTTTGTTCACAACACAACTAACAAACAAAAAAATGGGTTCTATTGGGGGGTGCAGGGGCGGTTACGGAAACAGTGGGTTTTCAGACCATGTGTAATAGTCTGAAAAAACATACACCTTGGCGGGCTCTGGTAAACGAAGGAAATTAAAATTAAAACTGCATTAGAAATTATCTATTCTTACTGGAATTGTTGCCTGAAAACAAGAACAGTCTTAAATTGGAGTTATGGTTTTTCCACCCTTTAGTTGAAAATCATTCATATTTTCTTCAAGGTCTCTTCCATTTAATATATATCACCTCTGTTAAATATGATGCTCTAGATGGTATTGTTTGTCTTAAAACTATAACAACACATTTTTTACTAACATCCCATTTCTTCAGAGTAACTTTATTCTCTTCCAGGATTCCATATTACCAAAAAATGTGGCTATAATGCCCTTTTCTAATGACACTGGTTTGTGCAGGATGTGAATGTGTTCACTTAGTAGTGCATTGTCAACTGCGGATAGCACACTCAAATTATTACTTGTCATGAGAGTTGATATTATTTCTAGTGAATTAATTATATTTGTAGTTTGCTTTGTTCCAGTCTTTTTTCCAAGCTTTAACTATAATTGCATTCTTCTCTGTTGTGAGCTGAAAAACTTTACCAGTTAATTAAATACTTTTTTTTTTTCTGGTGTTGGTCCACAGACATGAGTTACTATTAAGACACATGAATTCTTATTCTGTTTTTGATCTGCTAATATGCCAAACACTTTGACCTTTTTAAATATTCAATTTTTAAGTTGACTAAAGGAAGCCTAAAGATATAAAATAATATATTCAAGAAGGGCCTCTCTCATTTGGTCAGTTTAAGTTTCCTGTGAGTTGATTCCATGTTTAATGGATACCTTCAAGGCCATATCTGCTTCCCAATATCACAAGTGTCTCATTTTGAGAGAGAGCGCCAAATCCAGTCCCAACAATAATGTTATTCCACCTTAAATATTATGCACAATAATTTTATTGTAACAAATTATTTACATCAAAGTAAAAAATCATGATATCTCACTTACAGAAATAGCCACTCACACCAAAGACAGGAATCACACTGTATGGAAGTTATTTTCATGAATAATTTTGTGTCTCATAAACTCCAGAGCAGTTTGAGCTAGAGTCAACTGCTCTTGGACACAGCATCTACACGTGCACCCAGGACTGCAGCAATTTGAGCTGGGACAGAGCAGCCCCGGGCTGACAGGGAACATGGGGGGATCAGCCCTGGGCTCCAGATGATGGCGTTGGGTGGCAGAGGAGCTGGCAGGAGCCAGGGGTCCAGCCCCCAGCTGGTTAGGCTTACTGGGCTCAATTTGTGCCTAGCAATCACTGTTTACATTTGTGTTTAATTGCACTTAATGACTCTACTGTAAGATAGTGGTATCCCTAACGGTATTATCTTACAGTGGAGTTAATTCATTTACTGCACCCTAAGACTGGCGCACATGTAAACTCTGAGGCTTTACTGCGGAGCTAATTAATCTACTCTGCAGTAAAGCACACAGGTAGATGCACCCACAGTCTCCATATTTGGGTTTTAGCACATTAAGAACTGTGGGCTGCAAAATAGAGTTAGACGCCTTAAATGGAACAAACTTATGTGGGAAGGAATGTCCGCCTAATATGCTAGTAGATGCTGTAGCCAAGAATATAAGCAGTTTAGCACCAGGTGATTACCAAGACAGTGTTAAGTGGGTGAGAAAGGTAATTTTATTTGAAATGTCTTTGATATAGATAAAGGAACATTAGAAATTAAGGCCTTGATCCCTGTGGACCCGAAGTTCCACTGAAACCATTAAGAACTTTGCATCCGCAGAGATTTGTGAATCAAAATGAAGAGTTTTGTGGGAACAGAACTCTTGCTCTCTAGTATATTAGCCACATTAGTACTTTCTCTAGACCAGTTTTAAATGACTGGAGAGATGTAGCTTCCACCTCTTCCTAGAATAGATTATTTGCCATCTTACAGTGCTTATTGTTAACAAACTGTTCTTGATATTTGGCCAAAACCATCCTAGTTTAATTTTATTTTACTACTCCTAAAAATAACCTTTGTGCTCTTCTAGCACAGACGTAACTTCCATAGGTGTTTAAATCACTCTTTGAGATAGATATTCTTTTGATTATGGAGAATAGGTAGCAACAGTCCATGGTCGGATGCACCATTAAAAATATACACGTGTTTTCTCTATAGAAAACATAATAAATAATACATTAAAGCAGGTTTATTTGACAAAGTGAACAGCTATCACAAAACCTGGATGTCAGCTAAGCCAAAAGATCTTTTAGTTATTAATGAATGGTTTCCAGTTTGCAACATCAAGCAATTTGTTAGCTTGCAGGGAAGTAACTCACAAGTGGTTTAATTTATCTTGTTGGCAGGCATCCAGTTCAAGGGTGCAATGGGTATCTGCTCTGAAATGAGCAGACAGTATCCATATGGAACATTATTACTTAGAATGATGATTTTTGTATCATTTAGATTACTAATGATGGCTTCCAGTACAGTAATTCCAAAGTTCTGACCCTGTACGATGCAGTCTGCCAGGTCTGTGAATTTCATCCAACTGGACTTTGTAAATTAAAGGTAATTTTAAAAAGCTTAAAGGCTTAATACAGATCATCCATCTCCTTCTTAACCCTCTAGTTCCCCTTTGTCTGATGTTTAATTGTCTTAAAAGAGGAGAATCTTTTTTATAAGACAGCTGCACGCCTAAAAATTTTCTCCTCTTTCTTTACTAGTCCCTTCTGTGTGATTTTTACTGGTTCTAGAGGATATAAATAGTTGACAGATTATATGCTCCAAGGGAAAATTCTCAATATGACATTTACAAATGAACATGGCTGTTAATATTTGTCAGTTGAAAATATTCAGGAAATCAGAGACAATTGGGAAACTGATGGACACCATTCTCTCAACCTCAAAAGATTTCTAGCCTCCTTCTGAAGAATCTCTGAACGTTGAGTGATAAGGAGTTTCTTTATTCGCTCTTCCTTCAATTTGGGGGGAAATATTCTAACCACAAGTTCTATCACCTCTATATTTACCTCCTTTGTGAGCAGTAGGTAAACTAAGGTACGTACTAAATACTTTTTTGTCATGCAGAGACACCATTAAGACAACATAAAACATCCTTGCTTACGTTAAATCTCTCTGAGAACAGATATATAGCATCATGACAGATTCAAAACTGTAATCAAAGTCTAATGCTACATTTTAAATTGCCCACACTGGGGAAGTGCCTAGAGAGCATTCTACCCCTTTGTTTTCTTGAGAACTCTAATGAATTACCTATTAGTATGACCTCCTTGAAATACCTCTCCTTTAGCAGGGGATTCTAGTGAACAATTTTACTGCCTCTAGTAGGGCTTTAAAACACTCTTCTGGAGGTAAATTGCTGGAAATATTTAAATGTCCTAATGCAGCTTTTCTATTCTGATATAAAAATTAATAAATTATAGGGTGCCTACATTCCCCTTGTATAAAGTAAGGCTCACGCAGGTAAATTCTCTCCTCGCTCCATTTGCCTTGATCTCATTAACACTAATAGGAAAATATGATCTTCGCAGTAGCACTGAAAATTGCTCTTGTAACACTGTACCTTTTACCATGTTAAAATGAAAATTCACATCTTTCAATTTGAGTCAGTAACTACAGTTATTAACAGGCCCCATTCAACACAAAACACTTAGCTTTCTGATTACCAGAATCAGAGCAGAAACAGTAAAATCAAAGCACATTGTAGATGATATTATTTCTTAATTTTTTTCCTTTTTTTTTTTTTTTTTGGAAACCTAAAGTACATACATTTTGCAAGAGGCAGGAACTCCCTAGATTATAATAATTCCTGTTCTAAGAAGCGCTAAAAGCTATTTGATCTTGGCTACCAATTGCATCAAACCAGATTCTAATTAGCCCTTTTATAACATTTCTTTTTAGCACCTCAATTGCTTTCAGGAAAGGTGTTTCAATGAGAAGATATTTTATACAAGGCCATTTCACATTTTTTGTGCTCCTCTTTTATGGAACCTATTCCTCACCACATTATCACTTCAGAAAAGTATCTTCTTTTTTTTACCAGAATCAAGTCTAATTGCCTTGAAAACAACAATGGTAAAATTGTATTATTCTCCAAATTATAATGGCTGAGCTCCGTGTCATTCTTTCATTTTAGGCTACTATTCAAAAGTACTTTCAGATCCTTTACTTTATATAATACTCCCAAGATATGTAAAATAGTATCTAGCATGTATCAGGGAAAAAAAGGCAAAAAAGGATTGCTTACAAATGACAGCATTCATTATATGAGCCTGTCAGAGAAAAATCCCAGTGGTCAGTAGGACTGTTCATGTGTGCCAGGCAAGTGTGATATAGTATTATATCTGGACTAAAAGCTTGTTAGTATGTCTACAGTGAAATCAGTGGTGAATGCATCACAGAAAGTCATAGCTAAAATACCTTTAATTTAGCTAGCTCTGATACCCTAACAATGAAGCCTCAGTAGAATGAGCTTTGGCCCGAGTTGTACAACTCTGGGTACTTACTTGTGTGTTTAGCCTGGGCTAAAAATATAGGTTTGAACAGCTGACACTGAAGTCTGCACTGCCACGATTTCATTGGTATTGATACCTCAAGCTAAATTAAAGTGAGCTCAGACATGCCTACAAGTGTGGTTATCAAGCATTGTGATCTCATAGTAGATGTACTATTAAATCGGACTGCCTCAGGTCACTGACCATCAGCAAGACTAAGGCTTCTCAGCAGTTTTGAAAATATCACCTGTTTTTTATAATGATCCCAGAAAAGCCTAAAGAGAAAATATACTTCTTTATTACTTTTTTATTTCATGACATACTGATTTGTTATTGCAATTCGTTATATTTAAAATAATATTAAAAAAGACAGAAATAGTGAATTATAAAAACAGAAGAGTAACAGTCCAAAATGCCAAATAGTTTGGGTTTTTTTCAGCCAGCCTCCCTTTTTTGTCTTGATGAAGCTTACATTTGAGAGTTCCCAAGTAATCACCATATTAGCAATCATGGCTGGTAGTAATAATCACATGCAATATGTAAGCAGTTTAATGGGGGAAGAAAAGCTGTGTTCTCTCACATTCATCCATGACAAGCAACATTACAAGTTGCCTAAGATAAAACATTCACAGCTACAAGTTGAAACTGGAGAACTCTGATGTTTCAGCATTGTAACGATACACTTGTATTCTCCCTCTGGGGAACAAAGTGCTAGCATTTAAATTGCTGCTATTTCATTATTCTGAAAGAAACAGTAGTTTAGGCTTATCTCAAGTAATTACTAACTGCTAATTTCTGTCATTTTTCTTTCTCTTTTTTTGTCAGGAAGATACTTGTAATATTGATGGACTTTGCTATGGTGAAGGAGATTCAAGCCCCACAAGCCCGTGCCTTCTTTGTGAACCTGACATTTCTAAATTCATCTGGTCTATTAATGAAAGTAAATAGATTTTTCTAAGATTTACAAGCCAATTGGTGGGCATTCAATACTCTGCATATGAAATATTACCTTTGTTGATTTATAACATGGTCCTCTGCTGCAATCTGGGAGCAGTGCCTTGAGCAGGAGTTTTCAGTGCACAAGGAATATAGGCTTGTGTTGTTAGGTGTGGGTGCATTATATACGTTACACCAACAGTCCCCCATTTTGCTGGAACACGGTCAACAATACCAAGCAAGTGATGTGCTGCTGGCAACATCAGGCTTTGCTCCCTCTTTTAATTTTTGGTAGCCAAGTCAAAGGGTCTCATTGACAAAGTAAGATCTGCAAACGATGGCTTGGGAAACACTGCACTACATATAGGTTGGAAGCAGACGTCACTGAATGAAGAGGATCAAGTGTGCTGTGATCTGTGATGTCACAGCTGATCTGCTTCATGGGGTAAAACACACATTGCCCATTGTCCCACCCTTGCTGGTGCAGGACAAGGAGCAATGTGATATCCCAACTTTCCCTCAGCTGGACCTATTACCAGCATTCATTGGAGACAGGTCTGACTGAGAAGGGAAGGGCTTTTCTCAGCCCAGCCAGACCCATGATTGAGTTGGTCTGAATGGGGATGGGTTTTTCCTTGCCCAGCTGGAGCCAGAGCACAGGTCTGGGTCAGTGGGGAAAAACCCTGCTTTCCCCACTGAGCCAGGCCCATTCTCCAGGGCTGGCTGAGTGGGGACCTCTGATTCCCTGGTTTATGAAGAGGTACCCTGAGATTCCCTGCGGTAAACAGGAAAAGTAGGCAAGTGCTGTGGAGGCTTGAGGGGGTCAAGTCTCCATATCACCTGCATGGGGTGGTGGGAGAGTGCAGGCAGCACAGGCTGCTTGTACTCTCCCACCACAGAGCTAATAGACATCCACTGCAATAAAGCGGCAGAGTCTATTAACACTTTTTGTTGCACCACTGATTTTCCTTTCATGTAGCACAACAAAGGGTATCAAGGTTTATTTGCTCAACATTTCTGTCACCATAAAATTTTTTATGGCAGCACAAATGAAATGTTGGACAATGTCGGTTTCCACCCTACGTGCAGGATTGTGATTCCAGGCTGAAACCTGAAAACACATCAGGAAAAAAAATCCACCTGGGAATAACATTTTATGAACAATAACTCCTTGCAAACTTCTAAAATCATTTCTGCAATGCTGGACATCGCTAATTAAGGGGTATGATGAATCCCAAGGACCTCCAAGCTCACCTTAAGACTATTGGATTTTAAAGAGGAAAAAGCATAGTAAAACAATACTTTGAAACAACGATCTATATTTTTGGTGTTTTCAGCAAGGGAGCATTACAGCCAACTACTTGTAGGTGCTACATATAAACTCACTGTACATGCCAGCAGCACCCTCAAGCACACTTGACTGCTCTAGGCAGTCTGCCTCCTAAATTAGAAACAGAGTAGCTTCCCCATGGGCAGATGGGCTTACTGGCACTGTCATTGAGACGTGCTAATTAGCGCATCTCCAGCGCCCCATGAAAATAGTTACATGTTTCCCAGTTCAGGAGATGGTTCATTGAGAGCAGTGAAGCATACCTAAGGACTCCTCAGTCCCTGATAGTGAGTTTACCATGTAGACTTTGCCATAAATACAATGAGAAATCCCATGGTGTGTCCCCTCACCAACAGAATTTTCATTACTCGTGGATTACTGTGTTGAGCGGGGGTGGTCAAATGATGGCACTTGTGCCACAAGAGGTACAAGCAGCCTCTGTGCGTGTCACTCAGCATGTCAGGGAGCAAGCAGGGAGCATGGTGGCAGATAGGGCAAGGGGCAGAAAACAGAGCAACAGATCGGGCAGGGAGCACAGGGAATGGAGCAGAAAGCAAAGAAACAGATAGAGAAGGAGAAGGGTATCAGAGCATCATTGAGATAGGGCATGGAGCTTACCCCTGAAAAGGTTGCCCCCCACTGATGCAGATGTGTAGTTCTAGTGGCAATTATCTTCAATGGATACAAGTGCACACTCACCAGTGTGCAAGAACAGATTGTCAATATAAGGATCATAAATGTGTTTTTGCCATATATACATGCACTGGTTTGGAGGATAATTTTTTATGGACCTAAAATGTGGTTCTGCATTGTGTGCTTTAGTAAACGTGGTCATATTATAATGCAAAGGGCCTACTGGGATGACTATTAGGATACTCCTGAACAGGAATAATCAGAAGCTACAGAAACAAATCATACTGCACACAGTCATCATGTGGCACACATGTAAAAGGCACAGAAGTACTTAAAAATGACTAATGACCATCTAGACAATCAGTGTGTAATCAGAATTATATGATTCATATTAAGAGTCAATTTTAGTTACAGATTAGGGAATTGCTTGACAAACTAATATTAGGGTTGCTTCATGGTTTTGTGAAGATAGGATTTCTGAAATCTGGACTCAGATGCCAGTTCAGATTTAAATTACCCCAAAGATCGATAGTATTGAGATAAAAAGTTCAGTGTCAGGCCCATTTCCAAAAATTGCTGAGACATTGTTAGACAGGAAATGCACTGATACTTTATACTCACACACTTTTTTTCATGGCATAGAATGAAATTGAGCTTTGCAAAATTAAAAATACTCCTAAGCTACAGTGAGTTTTAAGAACATCTAATTTTCTGTTCCATTGTGTTTGTTACCGCCTCTGGTAACTCTCCATCCAATTAACGCCTTTTTGTTTATCTGTAACTGCATATCCATTGAGCATTTCATTGATTGCTTTTGGCACAACCTTTATGGGCCAGGTGGTTTTGGGAGTTTGTGAAGTAAAAGATAAATGAATAGATAGCCACTTTCAGCAGTTATGCGTTGACAGCCTGCTGGACAAGCAACTTAGAGAGGTTTGATAACACAGCAAAGACAAGTGGAGAGATGCAGCTAAATAACTGCACAGTCAGGCAAATGCTATGGAAAATAAGTCTTGAAAAACTGATACTCAAAAGAATAAAAAGCTAATGCTTATTTTACTTCATATATTGTTTACCAAAAGAATATTGCAAAACGCATCCAGTCCTTTTGAGAAAAGCCCATGTTATACACAGGGCCAGGCACAGGCATGGGCAAAGCAGGCAGCCACCTGGGGCCCAGACAGAAAGGGGTCCCAAAATAGTAATTTTTAAAATTATGATTATCATTATCACTGGTGAAGTGGAGCCCCATACTAAAAGTTTGCCTAGGGCCACCAGGACTCTAGGTACAGTGCTGGTTACATAGATCGTGCCTTCAAGTGTGAAATTAAATTAATCTTCCTGATTGTAGAGATTACTCAATGAATAACATAACTATTAATACATTGCATTATGTCATTATGCTTTTAAATGTCAATACATGTCAATTTGTTAGTGCACCAAACCAAGACACAGACATTTAGGTTAAATTTCAAGCTCTGATCGTTATATTATCTATGGCAAAGCCTCAGTTTCCAAGTTTAGAAGTGGAGATAATACTTCTTTTCCTCTATACTTTATCTGTCTCATCGGTATAGAATCTGAGCTGTTTGGGTTAGGATTCTTCATACTTTCATATAACAACTCAGCTTGATTACAGCATCTTGAAACTCCCCGTGTATAAATAGTAACAACAACAACACGGCATATGACACTAGATTTAGGTACCCTTACTCATGCAAAGAATTCATTTATTTCTCAAGATGCCAACAAAAATCAATGGACTGTTCAAGGAGTCTATTATTATTATTATGCCATATTAATAGTATCAAAATCTGTCCAATGGGCTGGCTGTATTGTTCTTAGTGGGGGGGGAGGGGAAGTCCATGTTTTTCAGATCTTTTTTCTAGAGTTGCTCATCCATTGCTTTGTTAACCAATTTGAAAATTATATTACTTAAAATAAGAGTATACATTTCAGATACTGTGAATATGCTGGTATAACTGAACAGTGCTGAAAATTTTCATCCTCAGGACGTGTAAACATCACAAGAAAGAAAAAAATCTCAAATTCAAGATACATTAAACAGTATACAAACCAATCCTTATTAGTCACACATAGGGTGTTTGTACATGAGCCAGGAGGCTGCTCTGATGCAGTGTAATTACAGCGTGTCAGAGCAGATTTGGTTAATCAAGTCTGCTGGAGTGTTGTGATTACTGTGCTCCAGCCAGCCTCTGTGTCTTGTGTATTAGTGTCTCCAAGCTTCAAAATGGTAGCAGGGGTGCTTTAACTAAAGCTCATTTGATGAGCTTTAGATAAAGCACCCCTGCTGCCATGTTAAAGCATGGGAACATTGATACACAGGATGCTCTGGGCACTTTAATTAGAGCAGCTCTTGGAGCCACTCTAATTAAAGCACCCCCCATACACCCACAGAGCACATGTAAAAATGCCCAGACTCATAGCATATACAACATTTGGTTTGGAGATCTTTTGTGTATGTCAATATATATTTTTCTTACAATAAGCATGCACATAAAGAACCCCTTATGATAATTAGATTGCATAATTCAAGATTATCTTTGATTCAGGAAACAAAGGGCCAGTACTAAAGCTCTAAAATATATTTACTAATTTTGTTGCACCTTATCTATACAGCTGTAACTAAAGAGAATTTGTTCTAATTTGATTCCTTCTAGCTCTTCATAAGGTAGACCCAATTCCACAGATTTTCATAGATTTCATAAACATTAGGGCTGGAAGGGACCTCGAAGATCATCAAGTCCAGCCCCCTGCCCCAGGGGCAAGAAGTCAGCTATAGTCAAAGGACCCCATCAAGATAAGCATCTAAGCTTTTATTGAATGAGTCCAGAGTAGGTGCCTGCACCACATCTGGAGGGAGTCTATTCCAGGTCCTGGGGGCTTGGACAGTAAAGACATTTTTTCTTATGTCCAGCCTAAATTGGTGTTATAGGAGTTTATGACCATTGGGCCTTCTTTTTCCTTGGGGCGCTCTGGTGAACAGATGTTCTCCCAGATCCTGATGAACACCCCTTGTGTACTTATAGGCAGCCACCAGGTCACCCCTGAGCCTGCGCTTTTTCAGACTGAAGAGTCCCATGGCTCTCAGTCTCTCTTCATCAGGCCTATTCTCTTCCCTCTGATCATGCATGTGGCTCCCCTCTGGACTCTCTCAAGTGTCTCGACATCCTTCTTGAATTGCGGAGCCTAGAATTGGATGCTATCCCTCAGGATGTTGCCCTCAGCTAGCTTATCCAGAAGGGTCTCCTTAATAGTTTTCTCAAGAATCTTACCAGGGACTGAGGTCAAGCTGATTGGCCTGTAATTCCCGGGATCTACTTTCCACTGTTTCTTGAAGAAGGGTACCACATTGGCCTTCTTCAGGTACTCCACCTGAGCGCCACAAATTTTCTAATATTTTTGCCAATGGTTGGGCTATGACACAGCCAGCTCCTTGAGTACCCTGGGGTGTAATCTGTCAGGATCAGCTGACTTGAAGGTGTCCAGCTTCTCAAGGTGATCCTTTATTAGATCAGCACCGATGCTGGGTATAAATACACCCTCACCCTGGCCGTCCTGCGTCTTGCTAGGCAAGGTGGTCCCATTGGACTGATGAAAGACTGGCGCACAGTACCCATTAAGCAGGTTGGCCTTTTCCTGGGTGTCAGCCAGGTAACATTCACACTTTCCTCCAAGAGGGTTTGCACTTGCTAACCACAACATGAGGCTCACAAGAACTTTCAGTTTATTTAAAGAATTTGCATTACTTTAAGTCTCTTGCTGTAAGGGCCTCTCCTGGGCATTTTTTATAAGGAATAAAAACCATGTTTTTCTGATTTCTGCATTCTACAGGGCTAGGCTTCACAGCAACATTCACGGAGCTGAAGACTTTTACCAATCCACATACTGGGCATGTACGTGTGCATGTACTGAGTGCCTTAGTGAGACTTCCTGCTTCCAAGATTGCATATTTCTTTTACCAAATAAGCAACATTATTAGTATTGCAGCAGGACCTGACTGCTCCAACCAACACCTGGGTCCCACTGTGCTAGAAACTATCCAAACAAATAGGAAGGGGCAAAGGGTCACATCAGAACTAGATGCACGTGGGCTAATCTATATAGTCATATACAGCAGCTGAAGGTTCTGTTGCCTTCAGGAGTTCTCCCTTATTAGACATGCAGTTAACACTTAAGTAAGAAGGGGAAGACTGTAGTGAGAGGATACCTAGCTGGACTCCCCCCATGGGTCTGATGAGTCTCAGAACTGCAAAAGGAAGATGAAAAGCTGTGCTTTGTTATTTGGTAATGCTGTTAGTGATTGCTAATATTTATGGTGTAGTGCTGCTGCCGTCGGTTTTAGCACACTTTATCCACCTCTATTTTAAAAAGGAAACACTCCAAACCTGCACTATTAATGCACTGTAGAGGTCTGCACATATGTGATCACTCCTTTATTTTTGCTTTTTTTTTAGACAACCTGCCTCCTGTGTTCCAAGCCCCTTCCAGCCAGCTGCTGACATTTATTGGTGAGAATTTTGTTTACCAGTTAATAGCAGCAGATCCTGAGGGGTCAGCTGTGCTATTCATCTTAGAGGCTGGGCCACAGGATGCCACACTCTCTCCTGCTGGCCTCCTCATCTGGAAAGTCGATTCGGAAGCAAAGCAGACGTTTGTGTTCGCTGTGTCAGATGAATGCAATGCACAGAGCAGATACTCTGTTGAGGTAGGAAGGGAACGCTTAAAAAAACTGTTTATCATGCCATCGGTTTAGTGCAGTTTTCATTATAGTTAATAATTTGTTGCTGTCTTAAAAACTAAGACTTCAGCTATTTCCGAGTAAGTGCATATTATCCAGTATGGCAATAATGATCAATTAATCAAATAAATATCTCTGAGAACATAGAAACTATATATACAATGAACAGAAGAGAGTACTATTGATTGCTGTTTGAAAGAACACTCTTGCAGAGCCTGTTAATGGTTCATTAATCTGCTTTAAAATTCACAGTCTACATTTGGATCATTGGGGTGGGGTGGGGGAAGCACATAACATAAAAGACCAGGTTTCAGCTATAAAGAGATTATAACTCATTCTCAATGATATTTTAGAGGGTACCTTGCTTTTATGTCATTACTCCACAGCTTTGGCTTCTTGGCAGAGCCTGTGCATTGCTTTGTCTTTATTGTAAGGCATTACATTAATCCTGTGATAGCATAGCTAATAAGGTGGGATACACAGTCTTAATACGAGAGCAGTTTTATTACTAATGGATCACTGCTAAAGACTCTAATGTATAAGGCATATTCACAACCATTTTCCAAAATATTGGTCTATGGAACATCAGCGTCACTGGGGTGGGCGCATTAGAAATGCAGAGCTAGATTCTATAGATACGATGTTCTTTTAAATCTTTTCCTGGCAAGTACACAACATAACTAGCCTCTTTAGATTTTCTCTCTGCTTGAGAGTAAAGGTATCTACAGAGTGCTATAATCAAGTTACCTGCCTCAGGAGGCACTTGTAAAGGTCTTAGTAACAAACACCGTTGGTAGGTAGTCAGATAGAAAATGTTTTTATTTTTTATTCTTCTTGCAAAACTAAGGAACAAGGTTTGCCCTCAGATATTCAAAAAACAACTGTTATTGTAGACAACAGGCTTTTTTTCCCTTTGCGTTTTATATCTGAAGTTAGGATGTGCCCCTAAAAACAAAATCTAGCTTTTAGTAGAGTAAAAATGTAGCCTTCAGCATGACATTTTCTATCTAGAAAATTAGAAAGAATTTTTTTGTAATACTGGAAAGTATGTTGTTTGCTTTTCAAGTCCATCCTTTCTTAAAAGGAACCTAAACATACCTTTCAGTTGGGAGAATATTCAAGAAAATATATTTATGGATCCCCTTTTGCCTTATCCAGGTTTTAGTAAAGCCTTGCAGCTGCATGCATGGTGGAACATGCGTTACCAATATTAACTTCCCTCCAGGACTTGGTGAATACCTCTGTATATGTCCAAATGGATTTGATGGGGTACTTTGCCAGGAAAATATCAATGACTGCAAATCAAACCCATGTGGAAGTGGCACATGTGTTGACAGTGTGGACAGCTACATTTGTAAATGCCCAGCTGGTTTGGAAGGTAATACATTGCTACTCCTAATTTCTATATGTTGAGACAGATGTTGTGCTAAAGGGAATTTAAACAGAGCTCAAAATATCCACAAGCATCTACAAGTTGGCTGAAGGTGCTTCCTTCTCTGCTCCCATGACTTAGCTGGGACAGGTTTTATCAATGCCAAGGGAACGTAAATCACCCCAAAAGCTTCAGCTCATTCGAATAAATATGGGAGGCATATGGGGTTAAATTAAGATGAATCAAGGTGCCCTGTCTCTGCTGCAAAGGAAGAACAGAAATGGGGTAGACGTGAGAACGAGTAATAGCAAGGTGACTTGCTGAGAGAGATAGAGAAGCAGAGTACACTGTGTTCCAGAGTAGTACACTGTTCTAACGAGGGTTCATTAGCCATCAAGATTAGTAAACTACCTCCCCTCCAGGTTCATAGATAGAGCAGGCAAATGCTTCCCCTGCTGTCCTTTTATATCCTTCCAGGACCTCTGTTAGTGACACCTTGATTAGCTTCCATCTGTGTTCACAGATCCCTGCCAAAATCCTCTCCTCTACCCAATACTTGGTCCTTTACTATAAGATCTAGCTTATTGTTTAGAATGATCATCTTTCATGGCACTGCAATCAACAACTATGGATGGTTACTCCTGTGCCAGAACCTGCTAATAACTATAGCCCAAGATGGAGGCTAAAGAAAAGCAAGAAGGTGAAACCAGCTTTGCATGCACTGTCTCTGGGCATCCCCACATTGCACTCTGCAGTAAAGTATTAAGACATCTGAGTTAAGTCAGATGATAGAAGCAATCCAAATGAGATGACCCAAAGCTCTGTGCAGTCTAATTTACCCTGCTGCTCCTTATTACTGTTCTCAGCAGGGTAAATTAGCTCCATGTGGCTGTGGCTAGAATGCTTCTGGTACCCTAAATGAGTCTGCCTAGAGCTAGCACATGCATCTCTACATTGCACGGCAGTGTGCCATGAAGACCTAAAACTAGGGATCTAACAGTAGTTCAGGTATTCAAGCCGATTCATTCTTTGTCCTCTCTATTCAGGTTGCTAACATGGGGTACAATTTATAAACTCTGGAGCAATACAATTTAAGGTCTATCTACATGACAATACAGTGCTTTGAGGAGATACTAAAACTAAAACCAAATGAACCAACCTCAGGAAGTGGAAACAGTACAGCCACCTTAATGTAGCACTCTGCTCATGCTAATTAGCCATCAGGGAAGCAGGGCACATTAGCTTTAGGTGAGCATTTCACCAACATGGCTAACTGTTTCCAATATTCAAGGTTGCTCATTACTGCTACTAGTTACTCCTGTGTTTCACAAAGGTTACTGAATAATCATCAGATAGTAACAGCTTTCAGTTGTTATTAAACCAGCCAGATTCAAAACAGTTGTCTTGAGGTGGAATGTTATTTCAGATCTCTGCGGAAAATATCTCTTCAAACAGCACTACTACAGGAGCAGTGTAGACTGGAGTCGCCATAAATGCTGAAAGTTACATTCAGAATCCAAAACTTGAGTCAATCAAGAGAAACAAACATTGTTCATCTATAAAAGACAAGCTCACTCATGAGACAAGCAATATTGGCTGTTGTACAGTAAAAATCTAATGCTGTACAGTTAGAAATGTAAAAGTGAGGTCAAAAGGCAGCATGAGATCATTATGATTCTCTATCAGGGCCCCTCTCCACGTGCAGGTAAAGGCACGATGGGATCTAATGCATGATCCACACAATCGCACCTCCTGCCATGCCACACATGTGTGGCAGGAGGCGTGACTGTGGGATCATGCATCAGAATCCACTGCGCCTTATTGCTGGTGCAGGGGGAACCCATGCAAGAGGAGTAAGTTGTTTTGGCTGGGAACCTGCTCAGATGAGGGACTCCCAGTCACAGCCCCACGCACCCCGGTGACTGGCTGATGCATCTGCTGCAATCTCGCAGCCACAGAGGCCCCTGCATAGCTGAGAAATCACAACAGCTGCAGTCTTCTAGCCCTGGGGGTACATGGAGGCCCACCCTGACTAAGAAATCACAGCTACTGTAGTCTCCCTGCCCCAGGGGTGCGTGGTGTGCAGCCTGCTCGGGGTGGGAGATCACAGCTGCGCCCTATGGCTGCCAAGATCTAGAGTCCTGCAGCTGTGGATGCAGGTTTCCAGCATCGCCTCACAGCTCCTGGGACCCAGCATCCCACAGCTATAGATCCTGGATCCTAGCAGCTGTGGGGGACTGCCGAAACCTCCCATCCACAGCTACAGGATGTTGGGTCCTGGCATCGCAGGGTGCTATTAAGATTCTGGCTTGTGATGACATCCATGGGCACTGCTGGGACCCAGAGTCCATAGCTGCCAGGCACTGCTGGGACTGAGAGTCCCCTCAGCTGCTGGACTCCCAGACCTGGATGAGCATAATATACCCTGTAGCTGGGAACGTGGTCAGTTGATGGGGCCCCCAGCCACAGGGCAAACCCTGCTATATGTGCAAATTAAAGCTGGATAGCAAAAAGCTATGAAGTTAGTACAGTTTCAAGGCCTAACTTCAACCTCATTGGACCCTTTTATGGCATGATAGGTACGCTGCAAGTGTAGCTAGTGCCAGGGTAATTGCACAATTATCCAGTTCATTGCACAATGTGTAGAGGGGCCCATTAGAAGCCTCACTTCAGTTTAAGAGGCAAGAAGTCTCTACTTTAAAATAAAGCCAATGAATAGATTTGACTAAATCCTTAGGAAGACAGAAATTTACCTGTAACAACTCCTAACAACTCCTTCCCCTCAGTCTCTCTTTCAGCAATTTACTCACTCCCCTTTTCTGTTTTCTAACAACTAATCCAAATTTGGACATACTAGGCAAATGATATACTAATCCAAATTTCCCTACTTGTAAAAATGGTACAGGAATAAAGCAAGATGTTTCTTGCTTAGACTGGTTAACTGATATTTTTGAAACTAAGATGCAGTCTCATATTTTCTTCCCTGGTATTAAAGATCTTAGTAGGAAAGGATACATATATTGATCCTCTCACATGGAATTAGCTTTGTCACCTACCTTCAAAGTAATACATTCAGTGGGAAAGATGACCATCAGACCTCAGTCTGAGGTGCTATTAAATACTAAAGAACCACAGCAGATTATTTGAAAAAAAAAGACGGATGGGCACAAGCAATATACTAACACCATAAAATTAAATATAGTATTACTAAAGTGCATAGGTGATAATCCCATGATCCAAAACAAGTAAGTCATCATCATGGGGTACTGGAAAAATTAGATTGAGTAATCAACCTAATCAACATTAGGTTGACTATTATTTAATATCTTTATTTATGATGAAAAAGATAGACCAAAACAGTGATAAACCCATTTCCAGGTGATACAAAATGAAGGATTTGTATAATTCACTGGGGGAGAGAGAACAGTCTTAAACAAATGTATACATAGGGACACATTTATACAGCTTCTTTTTCATCACTGAGATTTCTGAATTGCCCTTTGGAAGTATCTGACCTTCCCCACTGCCTTCATAGTGAGGCAAGGTACCTAAGTCTCTTTCCTTGAATCATCTGCTGGAGCCGGGCAATTTATTATGCCTAAATTGGAGGTGTCTGAAGTGTCTTTCTGGATCTTGTTCTAGATAACTAACAATCCTTTTCCATCTCTTATCTTCTCTGGGCCCAGTTCTGATGATATGTGACTGGCATTAATGAGGAGTAATTCTATTTAAGTCAGTGGACCTGATTCCTTACTTAGTTGTACCCATCTTCACATAGAAAATCAGGCCCATCCATGTCAAATAGTAGATCAGAATCAAGGCCTATTATTCCAAGTGGAACAGTGTATTATCAACATCAGTTTATTGTTCATAAATCCACAAGAAGTATTTTCAGTATAATTCAGCATAGCTTTCACTTTTTGTTGTTGTTGCAAAAACAGTAAAGAGAATAATATCCAATGCTTGATAACAACACAGTTGATAGTAACAGGTTGCTATAACATGCCTCTGAAGCCATGAGTATATTATACTAGATGATGAAAGAAACTTTGGGTTTTCTTTAACCATTTATTTCTGGTCTATTTAGATAAAATATGCATTGTTTTTCTCTGTACTTTCCAGACACAAAATACTAAATGCAAGAAACAATAACATAAAGAAATGAGTGAGTGAAACAGGAATGCATCTCCATGTTTTAATAGCAGGTGAAAAATTATGAGCAAGTGGAGCTGAAAGCCAGCTGGGAGGTGGATTATTTTACTTCAGGGCAGGTTCTGTGACAACAATAAAAGCTCATCCTTGATGTTGTGTTTATGTCTCAATTCCCCAGAAAGCCATCAATAATCTAATGAGAAGGCAATGCTATGCTGCTCAAGTGACAACACCATTTCAGCATCAAATCTTTACAAATGATAGTGAGCAGGTAGTAGAAACAAAACGTTAACTCTTTTGAGAGTTTCTCAAATGTCATCTCTAGAGAAGAAACTTTCCAAACACGGAATGCATTGTTAAGTAGCAGCAGTCCAGATGAATCATAAGTGTGCATCCCTATGAGCCTGAGTGAAAAAGAGAATAGGGAAGTAAGAGGAAGTAACAATGGGAATAAGAACTGGTCAGAAGCTATTGCAAAGTATGAGAAAAAGGTGAGACTAGCTAATAATAAATCTTTGAATTTCTATAGTGCCTGCTACTGAGAATCGCAATACCCTTTGCAAACATTAATTCATTTGCCTTCCATACCAATAAGAAAGTACTCTATTATCTTTGCTCTATGGATGGCAAAACTAATATCAATATCAAATAACTAGGTATAAAACCTAGGTAATCCATCCTTAAGAATTGTATCTTAATCATAAAACCATTCTTAACCTTCACCATGGATTCAATTATAAATGTAAAATTAGAAAAGCAATTTTTAAATTAAGGAGTTATAATTTCATTCTATGGTTCAAGTAATGGAAAAACCTAAGTTTCTCTCATTGTATAAAATATCCCAAGAATCCCTCAATGAGATTACAGTTTATAACTATATTATTTATTCCACAGCAGATTTAAAAGCACAGTTACAGAATCCATTTCTTTATTCCTAGCTGGGTTACTCCTCTGCAAGTACAAAGAACAGATATTCCCCTCTAAAAGGTCTGTGAAAATGTTTCTGTCCAGAGACAGGGAGCAGAATTTGCACATCTATAACAGGACTTTCAGTCTCCAGACCTGAAAATCTCAGGAGATCCAGCTAAGACTGGATTAAAGTGTATGAGAGTGTTTCAGAAAGTAGCAGCAATTTCAAAACAAGGTCATTTTGTGTGCAATGATCCACATTTGGCGGACCACATCACTTCTTTACATAGTGCATTTGGCAATGCTGCCATTAGCATTACTCACTGCTGTGTAGTGTCCCACTCATTGCACATAAAAATGTTTTATTTCAAAAATGGCATTTCTTTATGAAACACCCGTGTGCTATTGTTATTGTTATTTATGTCACTGCAATGCCATGAGGCACCAATCAAGACTGAAGCTGCATTGTGTACCACACCAGCTGAGGGACCATACAGGACAGAGTCAGTCTCACCCAGCTCTCAGTCCTACCATTTCTACTACTTTTCTCTTACCCTAAGCCCATTTTAATACTATAGGTCTTCAAGATACTCCTTGTAAACTTCATGTACATTACACATCCTGAGATTTTCAGATGCTATTTTAAATCAAATTATTTTACCAGTAATATTAATGTGTGTGTGTGTTGATATATATCAACATATATATGTGGATTTATATTAATATTTTCATTTCACTTGTTTGTTTGCCTTTTGCAGCTTTCTTGGCATGAATGATGTCCACAGACTTTTCAGTACTTTGCTTAGAGATGGTCAGTTTAACTTTATAGCAGGCAACTCTGCATTTGCGGTTCATGCACTGGCCCAGTGATTTAAATCTGGGGTTGCAAATATTTACAGGAATACTTGAGTTTTTTTAAGTCTTACCATTGGATACGTAATAAAAGAGGAAATTCTGCGGGTCTTAGGTACTGTAGTAGCTTTCTTAGAGCATCTACACTCTGGCCTAAACTTGCTCTAAGAGTGTTCCCGTAAATTGTACTATAGTAGACAAGGTTGACAAATTCAAAAACCCATTATTTTGTAAGTTTGCCTCTAACCAAACCCTATCAGGTCGACAAGCAATAAGCTGTTAATAATATATGGCTCAAATAGAAAAGAACAGTGCAATACATCAGTACATGGCTCTCAACCTTCTAAAGCCTAATCGGTGAGACTGGCTTTTTAAAATATATGACAAATATCTCAAACAAACAACACAGAAAAAAGCAGCGGAAGCAAAGACTTGAAACAAAAGGAATTTATTTCTTTAACCTGTCTAAAGATTTTTTTTACAAGAAGCAGGCTCAAATTCAACAGTTCTGGTGCCAATAATAAACAGTGAGATAACAGCAGGTTTAAGTGAGACAGTGGGGAATTTGGCACTAAAATGAGTGACGTACCCTGTAATGAGTTTACAGTTGAGAGGTAAGCCTCAGTCTACTTGAACATTTTAGCTGAGAAATAAACAGGGAATGTTTCCTTCTTATTAACCTGCTCTTTGTTTTTGCCACAGGGCTTACTTGTCAGGAAGACAGGAATGAATGTGAAGAGAACCTTTGTTTTCCTGGAATGTCTTGCATAAACACTTTTGGGTCTTATATGTGTGGAATTTGCCCCAGTGGGATGGAAGGGGATGGTCAATCTTGCAGACGTAAGTTTTTCCCTGGTTTTCACAGAGACGGAAAAATTAGGGCTCAATTCTACTTCTGTTAAAGTTACTGGAAGTCTTGCCCCTCACTTTAATGGGCGTAAGATTGAGCTCCTAATAACATAATACATTAGCAGGGAGCTATCATATTATATGAGCATTTATATATTGGTCATTTAACTATATTTTTGTGGTCTTCATTTTACTTACAAGCTGCATAACCCTATAGCATTTTCCCATGCCAATCTCATCTACATACCCCACTGCCATGTGGCTTGGTGTCTAGATCCAGTATGTCCTTCTCTACCCTCTTCCACAAAAATGCCTCCCATTAAAGCCCAGCCTGGATCACTGCAGAAACCCTTTCACAGTACACATCAGCTGTGAAGGCATCTATATAAGATTGCTTCACTTCTGCCTCCATGCCATTGGGCAACATGGTGCCTAGCTAGGGGGAAACACATTGAGGCTAGTTTTTTTAATGCAGATTAGGGAGGGAGCAGAAAGCAGAGAGATCAGAAGTGGGGCACTGGGCAGGGAACAGAAAGCAGACCAGCAGATCAAGTTCACTGTGGCACTCAGGGAGGGTACGGGGCTTACCACGTGGTAAGCCCCGTACCCTCCCTGAGTGCCACAGTGACCCTCACTGTTTTAAGGTAATTTTGAGCATCTCCAGCAGTACACAGAGAACTGGAGAACCTGGCTTCTTTTCTCTCTGTGCTTCATTAAAAAGAATATTTTGAGTAGAGGGAAAAATCATTACCATGTATTTATTAGTGCTACCAAATAAATTCAATCTGTGCAAAATAGGCTTGCAAAAAGTATACTTTTCCTTACAAAAGAAAGCTGCTGGGTTTTTTTGTGTGTGTGTGTGTGTGCATGCATGCACATACGTGCATGAAAATTTGACTTATAATTGATGAATCTTGGGATCAATGCACTCTATATTGTCAAACTTATTGGCTCTCCCTAGATTTGCAATGTTCTCTGATACAAATGTTTTCTTTACTATATTACTTGATCAATTCAAGTCATTGCAGAGCTGCCACTATGTCTACTATCCTTTAGCACATTTTTGGAGCTAATTTGATTAACTGTGGAGGAAGAGATTCAATTAAATAAACAAAATTATCCCCTGGGAGGAGGGGGGGGGGGGGCATGTTCATTTGAATTGCCATTCATTTCTTCCTACCATGGGACAATTTTAGAGGAACATAGGAAGAATCACTTTCCTCTAATGCTGAAACTAGACTTATTGGAATAAGAATATTAGTATTCTTTCTGTCTCTGCTCAGAACTCAATGCTACTCCTTCCTGTCTTCCTTGTACAGGTTTTACATATACACAAATTTACATTTCCTTGATTGAAACTGGAGATTATTGGCTTTGTAACAGGATTCCAAATGGAATATATGTTTCCTAACCAATTCTGGGAATTTCCATAATTTAAGCAGAAAATAAATATTTTTAAAAGTCTCTAATGGTCAGCTTTACATACAAGCATTGTCATTCCACATTCTTGCATACCTATGGTAGAAATGCCATTTGGCAACCTACAGGCTCTCTCATTTTCATATAGAGTTTTGAACAAAAGAGCCCCCATCCCAGCATTCCATGTTTCACGTCAATCTGAATAGCCAAATTCTATTGCACTGAGTCCTGTGAACCCCTTTTCAGCCACATATCTTCACAGAAGACCACTATACATATTAGTAGGGACCTACCTAAATCACGGAGGAAGTTTGTGGTATAGCAGCACCTTTAATCTTGCTTTTTTCGCCTTACACTCCCTGCCCCCACCACGGCTGAGCAGCCCATGGGCAAAAACCACAGCATTAATTGGCCAATCAGCGGTGGAGGGGGGAGGGGTAACAGGACAAAAAGAGAAAGATTAAAGGTGCCTCTGTGCCACAGACTTCTGCTGCAATTTAGGTGAGTCCCTACATATTTAGGTGTGACTCTCTTTTAAGCAGAGTAGTTAGCTATGTTAGTCTGAAGTCAGTCAGAAGGCAGGGTAGAAATGCACCTTTAGGTTAATGAAAGATAGAGAGAGAGAGAGCACAGGTTTTTGTGAATCCAAGTTCAGTTTAGTTTGGACTTACAACATTGCTTTACTTTTTCTTGTTGAATGTTTTAGGAATTTTACTAGCTGGTGCTAGAATTTGTTTCATGGCCAGCTTCCAGGATAAGCCGATGTGGAATTCTTTGATTTGCCTTTACTGTTGTCAGAGCCAAGCCAAGCAGGGTGCGGGGCCCAGGGCAAATCAGTTCATGCAGGGCCCTGCCCCTGCTCCGATCCCATGCACCTGGGACCTAGAGAAGCTGCCGCCACCATTGACAGCGGCGGTGTTGGCAGCGGGGTGGGGCATAGCAAGCGGCTGGATACAAAGCAAGAGGCAGTGGTGCAGAGTCCCCCAAAGCATTGGCCCTGGGGCGGTCACCCCAATTCGCCCCCCCCACCCCCGGATGGCTCTGATTGTTGTTTACCCTCAATCATACTCTACTACCTTACTTTCTTGACCTCCATGCTTTCCTCTTGCAGCTGAGGCCACTGCTGACATTACAGAAGATTTCATCACTGAGAATAATAAAGCTTCAGGTAGACTGAACAAGACAGAGGAGGAAAGACCAACACAACCCATAGACACAAAGAAGATTCCTGCAATTAAGAACATTAACGTTAGTGGCATACAAGGTAAGTATATAATGTTTGTGGTCATGGCATGTTATTCTTTTTCCAATGTTGTAGGTTCTGTTTGAGGACCTTATATATTTTGACAATGTTAATAAAAAACATACAAACTGTTTAAGTTACATTGTAACAGGATGAAGGCAAAAACAAAAATAAGTTGCCTATAAGTTCATCACGGGGACACAGAAGGGAATTGGTGAGTTTTTATTCACGAAGGCGCCCCCGGGGGGTACAAGAAATAATGGCCACAAGCTAGCAGAGAGCAGATTTAGACTAGACATTAGGAAGAACTTCTTCACAGTTCGAGTGGCCAAGGTCTGGAACGGGCTCCCAAGGGAGGTGGTGCTCTCCCCTACCCTGGGGGTCTTCAAGAGGTGGTTAGATGAGTATCTAGCTGGGGTCATCTAGCCCCAGCCCTCTTTCCTGCCTATGCAGGGGGTCAGACTCGATGATCTATTGAGGTCCCTTCCGACCCTAACATCTATGAATCTATGAAAAACACAGAAAATGAAGAGGTGTGTATTATCACTAGTAAACATGATAATGATAAGGCAATGACTAGTGGAAATAATAAAAATGATGGTCAGCTCTGAAGTCTCTTTTTGTGCTTATCTGTGGAGGAATGTTTTGTTTGTTTTACTGACATTAAAGGAAAAGGGAAATGTCTACTAAGAAGTAACCCTACGTGTGGGCAGCCAACAATATTCCTGCATTCCATGTCCTGTCCAGCTAAAAGAAAATTTTAATGGACTCAAAATTAAAATATTAAGAATCTAGTGTTGATACCACACCACAACCTGTAGTCAAGGCCTGAATATATATTTCTTCCACAATTTCAGTGTCTACAGCAAGCAAAATAGTACTAGAAGCACCAATGCATGAAATATTCCAGGCTTTTTAAATGCAAAACCTTGCACTCTCTTACTGACACAACAGTGCAGACTGGTGTGGATCCCACCTTTCTAGAGCTTGTAGTGCATTCAAGAAATATAAGCATAAGGCCTATAATTGGCTACTCTACTGAGATATATCTGAGAGAATGGGCACAGCTCCCTCCTGTGTTCATCTGTACCAGGCTAGCTTCTACTTAACCGAAGGGTGTGCACCACCTTAAAAACACTGCTTCAATTTACTTAATACTTTTGAAGTCAGCTGGCAGAACTTATACTGCAAATATTTGAGTCAGATCCATATCACACTGAAGACAATTTTTAAAAGAACCCTAGCCACCACTAAGTTTTACAAATCATTTGTTCTCTATCCGGGGGCCATTTGATGCACTTCGCATGCAGTAACTTTGTGTGAAAAAATGCTATCTAGTCACATTGTCCTGTTCACCAAAATTAAGCTAAAGCAGTTAAAGCAGCCAAGATCAGAAACATTGATATTCCTCAAACTAAGATATGGGTAAGGCAAGGTTTGGTGATATGATTGTAATTATAAAAATAAGGGACATCTGAATAATGCATTTTCTCACTAAGTTAATCTTTCACTTGTGCTGAAAATTGCCATTTCTATCTATCCATGATAAATGCCAAGCAACTTTGAGTAATAAACTTTAAAACACATAATTAGAAGACTAATAAATCTTGCTTTAATGAGAAACAGCTGTTCTGATATACTGTGCCTTCAGGATATTCTTATGTTTGGCATAAGATTTGGGGAACATTCTAGTTAATTATATTTTAAAAGAAGAAATTAATGAAAAGCCTTGGGCTGGGCTTATATAGTCACTGTTTTACTTTAAATATTGATTTGCTTTAAAAAATAATAAAGAAAGGTTATTGGGTTTTTTTTAGGTCACACAGCACCTCTGCCACCTATTACTACATGTACTAATAGACCATGTTTCCCTGGAGTCATATGTATTGATCGTAAACCTCCTTATATTGGGTATATTTGTGGCCGGTGCCCAACAGGCTTTTTCGGAAATGGCAGAATCTGTATAAAAGCCCAACAACCAGGTACTCACTCTTTAATCTTCTGAGATTTTAAAATGTTTTTGTAGATAAAGGTTATAAGAAAATGTGAACTGTTTTAGTTAGAAGTGCACCGATACTTTGGTCTGATATCAGATTGGCACCGATGTAAAGACAATTGGCTGTATCGGAAATCAGCCTGATGTGGCTGATAAATGGCATGTGCATGTCTAGAACTGCAGTGCAGCATGTAGGCAGTAAGGAGCAGACCCCAGCAACTTGGAGAGCTGTGTGCAGCTGGTGAGTCTGCTGTGGTGGACGGGGAGGGAGGGGGAGGGAAGGCAGGGGGGCAGATCAAGGCCCCTGCGGTGAGGGAGGGAGTGGGCCTGGGGCAGGCGCTGCCCAGCTGGGGTAGGGTGGGGTACAGGACAGAGCCGCAGCTCATCTGGGGGAGCAGGGGGAGCAGGTCCCACTGCTGAACACACCCTGGGAAGGCATGGGTGGGGGCTGTGCCCCTGCATAGGGCAGGGCCAGCTGCTGCTACAGGCTGGGGCTGGGGCCAAGCTCTTCCCGGGGGCTGGGCTAGGCTGGGCTGCACTCAGGGTGGGTGGCTGCAGTGTTGGGAGGGAGGGTTGGGGGGCTACGGCAAATTTTGGGGTAGCTACAGGGCCCCCCCCTCAACATGTAGCCTCCTCCCAGCACTGCCGCTGCCTGCCCCAAGTACAAGTTGACCCAGGCACCTGCCAAGAAGAGCCTGGCACAGCCCTGGCTACAGCCTGCAGCAGCAGCTGCCCTGCCCTGCCCAGATCCAGGGACACGTGCCCCCCACCATGCCCTCCTGGGGTGCGTGCAGCAGCACAAACTGCCCCTACCCCCACACTCCCCAGATGAGCTGTGGCTCTGTCCCATGCCCCACCCCAGCCCAGCTGTGCAGTGCCTATCCCAGCCCAGCCCTACTCCCTCCCTCACTGTGGGAGCCTTGATCTGTCCCCCACACCCCTTCCCTCCCCCCTCCCCTTCCACCACAACAGACTTACCAGCTGCACACAGGTCTCCACACTGTATTGGAAATCGGATAAGGTCTCCACACTGTATTGGAAATCGGACAGGTATCAGCTGATATGCCTCCTTAAAAATCAGCTTTTGGTATCGGCCCCAAAAATCTCTAGCAGTGCACCTCTAGTTTTAGTATCACACTATGACATACTGTATACTGTTACATATAGTGCTCAATCACAGGTCTGAATTGAGATGGAGTCTAAAAAAGTCCCAAATCAGTAATACTCAACTCTCTCCAAGTCCTGATCTTGTCTAAGGTAAAATAACCCAGATTTACTAAGCCATCTGACCAAGGAATAGTTCTATGGCCCAGGACTTCATGGATGCCATGAAATCACCCCATCTTCATTTAAATTAAATTGACCCAACTGTGTCTGTATAGTTCTCAAAAGATTTAGGAGTTAAGTTTATGGAACAATTAAGCTTATTTATTCAGAGAGCAGTGCCCTGCTTACAAATCTTCTGTTCCCTCCTGCAATCCCCGAGACAATGTAACAATTGATATGTAACTTAAAGTATCCACACATCTCCCCGCTTTACATGTAACATATCCCCATATAATACTAACACTGGCAGTTTAGTTCAACCCATAGTTAAAGCATATTTTAACAATCCTCTATTAGTCTTTGTGTTGGCTTTTTAACTCTAAGTGATCTTCTCAGTTTCTCTGCATTCTCAATCCTTATTGTTTCAGTTCTTGTGGGTTTCCTTGTTCAGATGTCTATTTCTGTGTCATTTTCAATCCCCTCTCTCATTTCTTTTTGCTTTGGTGTTAGCTCTGTTTCCTTTGGTGAATCTTGTGATGCTGCTTCTTTTCTCCCCTTCATGAGCTGCAAGTGTTGTCTGTTTCTTAGCACCTGTCCTTCCAGCGTGACTACTTTATAGGATCTGGGAGATACTTGATGGGAAACTAGTGCTTTTTGTTTCCACATTCATCCATCTGAAATAAGCACTATACCTTTGTTGTGGAGTTGGTGTAACTCCCGGGAACCGTCATAGTACCATTTTTTTTTTAGTTTGTTGAATTTAAATGTTTTCGTGCCTTGCTTTTCATTCTGATGAGCCTCATCCACAAGATTTGGCAGCCTGGTTTTGAGTTTAGTATTAAGCAGCATTTCTGCTGGGGATAATCCATGTTTCATGGGTCTTGCTCTGTAATTTAAGAATGACAGGTAAACATTGGTGTATGAATCCGTAGCTTTTTTCAACAATTTATTCACTATTTGTACTCCATTTTCCACCAGACCATTGGATTGTATGTATTTAGGACTTGAAGTGTTGTGATGTAATCCATATTTGTTTGCAAACTTTCAAAACTCAGGACAGTTGAAATGAGGTCTCTTGTCTGTTCTCACAATTTGTGGAATCCCATGTCTAGCAAAAATCGATTTGATGTGAGTTATAACATGGTTTGCTGTTGTGCTTTCGAGCATTGCAATTTCAGGATAGTGAGAAGAATAATCCAGCACTAATACATATTTTTTCCTTTGTGTATGAATAAGTCAATGCACACTTGATGCCACAGAGTTAGAGGCTCCTCCATGACCATCATGGGCTCTTTTTTTGTACTGATCTGTACTTTAGGCACTTTGTACAAGACTTTACAGCATCTTCTAATATAGAGCACCCCTTGCTCTCCTTTTTGCATTTTTCAATGCCTAGATGTCCCTCATGTATTCTGTTTTACATGTCTGTCTTTAGCATTACTGGAACAACAAGTTGTGAGCCTTTGAACAAAATGCCATTCAATAGTAACAGCTCTTCCTTGAACTGAGAGTAGAGGATAAGTAATGTGTTTTCCAGGCCAAACAACATAAATAGCTGTTATCAGGGCCTATCACAGGGGGGTCCAGGAGGGCCATTTGGCCCTGGTCTCTCATTCATGAGGGCCTCAAATTTAGACTTTTGATGTTATCTCCAAATGAGGTTATGCATACAGACACAGAGATACACTGACAGGATTGAAAGAAGAAGAAAAAAACCTAGAAAAGCACTTGTTAAATAAAAAAGGAACATTTATTACAA